GCTAGGAGTCATCGCACCGGTGCCGAAGAATGTCACGACGACGTGATTTCACAATTCACATTTGAGTTAAGGATTAAAGCTAAGGAGAGATTGTCGGCGATTTCAGACCCAGGCTCTTCCGCCTGGGTCTGAAATCGCGACGATCTCGCTTGTAGCGGCTAAGGGCATCGCACGACATACTTTTCTAGGGTCCAGTAGTGAGCGCAGCGGAACTTCTGGCGGCGCACAATCTGGGTCTGAAATTGGGGCACCAGTTTGTATCCAGCCTGGAACCGCGCACTTCCAGACGGGATAGAAACTGGTGCCCCAATTTCAGACCCAGGTTGTGCACCGCCGGAATTCCCGCTGCGCTCTAATGTCTATTCAGCGCAGCACCTTGGTGCGCGCTGAAATCGTTATTCACAGCCGTTCTGCCGCCGCCAAGCTCAACGAAGCCGGCGTCGTCACCATCGCCCGTATACCCAAGTAAGTCCATCGTTCCAGCCGGACCGCAGGTGACGAACGTCGCTTGCATGTTCCTGCCCACCCATGTCCGCAACACCCTGCTAGTCCAAGACCTGTCCTCTCACAGGAAGGTATATAATTGGGGTTGTGGGGATATTTATACAGCGTGTAGTTGGTCTGCCATTAAAGTTGCGACGAGTCACACGCTGTAGATGAGCAATTTAGCCAGTGCGGTACAACCGCTAGCCTGGGGTCTTTAACGTGCACCACGCAGTAGTGATACACAACCGCACGCCGGTACGATGCTCATCCAGATCGAAACGGGCAGGGGTGGGGCTCGAACCCAGGATCCCTGGGTTCTGCAGCGCGAGCTTTCGCTCCACGCGCGTCGAGCTGGGTGTGCGCTTTAGCCCACTCGGCCACCGATCCCCCCGTCACAGGAAGGTCCTAGAACTCACGCGTGCAACGTACCGCAGCCCACCAACTGTGAAGACCGGGACAAGATATCTGAAAATCGAATGAACGAGTCGGACCCTGTCCCGAACTTTCTTCGAATCGAATGCCACCGGGCGACATTCGACTACCCACTCACTACTCAAGCGGCTGTGCCGGCGGTACCGACTGGAAGGAAACATTCGAATCAACTGCACGATAGAGTATTGCGACCGGTGCGCTGTCTTTGGAGACGCCACGGGCGATGCACGTCCGACTGTCGGCGGTGCGGCGGGTCCCACGCGACTGTGCGCGGACCGCGTGGTTCGGAGCTACTCGTATATGGTCGCTGGGACATACTCGTCTGAATTTCCCCTATTGTCCCCATCACGTGAGGTGACTCCCCCTCGCCCAGCCGCCCAGACTGGAGCGCCCACAGACCCAATCAATTCCCAAGCCAACGTCGACAGTCCGAGCTGTCAGAACTGCCGCCCCCGACTCCGCTGCCGGACGCGGCGGGTGCGACGTCCCCCGAAACGCAGCCCAAGACGCCAAGCGCGTCTTGGGCTGCGCTCCGTTCGCGCAACCTGCTTTTTAGGGTTATCGGATTGTGCTATTAATAGCCAAATTAGGCTACCTACTGATAGGTTTGCCGTCGAAATTTGGCGGTTGGCTATGTGGCTACGTGCGGCTATTTTTTGGGCTATGTCCGATTTTCCCCCGATATCCGCGAAATTGTCCCCTTTCCCTCTGTATACTGTAGGACAGTGGTTTCAAATCGGGGTCCGCGAAGGTGTTCTAGGGGTCCGCGAAGCCCTGTCTCATCACTCACGCCCGGCAATAAAAGTTGTCTTTTTTTTCAGGTCGAAATGAAATGTTTCAGTTTTCGGGCGAGTTTTCGGCGGTTGGCTATGTGACGTCAATGCAAGGAGCCTATTAGCGGCGAGATGTTTTGGTGGCGCCCTCCTATGGTTCCCCCTTGTGACGTCATTACCTTGCGAAGAACAAGTTCGATGGTGTTTCTAAATAGCATGGTGGAAGCCTGAAACCATTGCGCTTTCAAAGGAACACTGCCAACACCGTCGAAATTAAAGTTCTTTCATTCCGCTTATTTCCGTCAATCGTGGAAGGCCGACCACAGCGACGCTTTCGGTCGCGCACGTCGCCAGTGGGGCTCTTCGCGTGCCTTCTGCTCGCCGCGAGCGAGTACGTCCTGTGGCGAAACCGGTGCTGCGCCGTGGGACAGGGACGGAGGCTGCGCGCGCTCTGGCCGCTTCTGTTCAGGCTACGGCGGGAGCTCGTGTCCCACCTCGAGGCGCAACTGTTCCTCCTCGGAGAGCAGGAGTTCCTGCGGCGCTGGTCCTGCCGATACCTACACGTGCACAACTCTCGCATTGAACTCCGTTTTCAATATGTTGATCATATCTAGACCGCGTTAGGCGGAGAAAGGGGGAACGGGACGACGATGCGGCCCTCTCTTTGAGGCGTCGCAGGGTCGGGACGTGCGAGCGCGGTACCGGTTGGGGGGCCTCTTTGCGCGAGTGATAGCGCGGACGGGCGCTTTGCCGAGCGGTCGGTGCGTGCCCGCGCCTTAGGCAAGGGGGTGGCTAGCTTGAAAGACTATATACTGTACATAGCGCGTTCTCGGGTTTTGGTTTTGTTATGGGCATGACACCACTGTTGTAAATAAAATTTTCTAAACAATTTCACGCGCACTTGATGTCATCGAGTGCGCGTGCAATCGTACTGGATCTTTATACAACGGCATTCGCAACCGCTTCGCGAACGCGGATCCGCTTTCAGTGTGAATGAGCGGTACGAGAGGTCTACTTCATACTATCCCTCAGTTATATTCATTTATTAAATCATTATGTTTAACCTATACCTTTCCTCTCACTACGAACGGGGTCCTCCACCATCTCCGTCGATCCACAAGGGGTCCGCGAAACATCGATGGCTGAGAACCACTGCTGTAGGATGTCTCAAGAAACCCTGAAAAGCAACCTTGGTGTGAATTTTTTTTTTTGCTTGTTTGTTAGGGAGGAAAAGTGTTGCAAAACTTTTAAGCCTTCCGACGAATGCTTCGCTCGGTTCAACTCTAAGGTACTCTACGGAGCTAGTACGAGTGGGACAAATGCTTCCTAATAATATTGTTTAGCACGAGACTGACCAAATGTGTCCACATTAGCTTTTTGTTTTATTATTTGAAATAAAACTGTCTTCTAGATATTGTAATACTTTGATTTTGCATGCATACTATCTCAGAGTTTTCGCCTTCAGCTTGTTTGGCTACTTTTGGGCTATGCAAATATTTGGCTTTTGGCTACTTTTGGGCTACACCGACTAGCCATTTGGCTATCTCAGCTAGGAGCTATCTGGCAACCCTGAAGCGGAGGGAACTGCTTTCCCTCCGCTTCAGGGCACTGCGGAGGAAACTGAAATCCACGGCAACATGGCGGCGCTTGGTGACGCTGTCGCCAAGCGCCGCCATGTTGCCGTGGATTTCGCTTGCTATTCGCGAGCCACTAGCGACGATAGAGCGTTCTTATTGATTCTTGACTGCAGTTGACTGTGTCAGGGTGACCAGGTCGGACTATTATTAGCCAAACTGGGCTACTCTCAGTGTTAGCACATTGGGCTATATATAGCCGAATTGGGCTACATTTTTTTGAAGTTGACGTCGAAATTTGGTAGTTGGCTATGTGGCTATTTCCAAGGATGCAACAAACTTTTGTCCAACTTCTAGGTTCGATTGGCCAATTTTCAAACTTCTAATCAGTTTCGAAAATTTTTTTTTTCTTTTTAGGCTGGTCGAGAGAAGAGGGAGAAAGGCTTCAAACTTGTACAAATTAGTGTTTTCACTGTGCAGAGAAGCAACGTTTGTGGAGTTCAAGTAGTCTCCTCACAGCTCAGTGGAACAAACCAAACAAACATATTGTACAGTTACCACAGGTCCAGTAGTGCATCTTCTACCTGAACGTAGACTGAACTCCCCAAGTGCTGCTTTGGTAACCATTGTAAGAATCCTCAGGCCACCCAAGTTCGTAAAAATTAGAAGTCCGCAGCTTCACCGCTAAACAATTGACAACCTTCCAGTCTTTGCCACGCCAAGAAAGAACAACACAATCAGAAATAGCATGAACCGGAATGGGGGGATACTAATCTTCTACACAAAGAAAAAAAGGCGGGTGGGATATTGGGGGTTCTGGTTTGAAATGTTCAGTGTTTGGACTGTTATTCTTCTGTATTCCATTCTTTTACTGTAAGATAATATGTCTCGGGCTTGACAATAAAGCTGTCTTTGTGTGTTTTGTACTTACTTTTGAAAACCTACAAAGGAAGGGTCAGTGTTGAACAGATTTTCATCATTCCAAAACGTTTGTCTAAACATTCACAAGTGGCATAATGTACAGAAAATATGGCGTATCTGAGGGTTGAAAAATTCAGAACACCTATAAGCACTTTTTTTGAGTTGTGAAAGCATGAATGTCGAATTGAACGCCGCCGAATGTTCCTTAGAGCTTTGCGGAGCGAGTATTGAGGTGCCGCCATGTTCGTTGGCGCCATGAGGAGCACCCACTCCTCCCTTCTCCCTCTCCGGATGCCTCATTTTCAGTTCTAAAGGAATGCTTCTTTTCAGCTGAAGTGACTTTTAAAAACCCAACAAAAAATGACAGCCAATGGGGCATTGTACAATCTATTACCTGCCACAAAAAAAAAAAAAAAGTGTCCATGCTTTTTAGGGTGTGTTGCTTGATTTGTGCAATCTAGTTACTAAAATTTTCCAGAGAAGCGAAACTCCCAAGCTTCGTTTCAAAACATTGTCGCGGCACCGCAATCAACGGCCTCAAAATGGACGCTCTGTGCAATTAAATCGGAGCAAGCAGAGGTGCCAGAGCCTGCCTGCCAGAGGTGAGGTGCATGATCTAGTAAATTTGCAGACCACGTGCTATTCATTCGAAAAGCTCCAGCAAAGACTAGCACATCTTTTGACCGGCCACCACACAAGATGTTACAGAGTGTGGTATAGTCTGGGAGCATGCAATGGCCTGCAATTGCTTGGCAGGAATGACCAACAGCAGGGCAGGCATTCCCTCAGAACAGCAGCAAGCTTCAATCTCGTATGAAAGTGCCATACATACTTTAATAATCTTATACTGATAGACGCTATGCTCATCAAAACATAGCAGTAAAATTTATACACCGAGCAATAGCAAATAATTCGTAATAATACATAACACAGACGATGGGCGTGATGAAGAGCGCGGTGTGGAACGTTAAAAAAAAAACGCAAACGCCGTCGGCAGCGGAGCGGCACACAATGAGAGCGCTCGAATAAGCCCGAGCAGACCATAATTCGTCCCCCCAACTTCGCCCGTACCGACACTGGCATCCATTCCTATGTACAGAGAGTAGCGGGCAGTAGTGACTACCGCCCATTTTTTTCGAAATTCCGTCAATGCAAAAACAAGCGCGGCGCTAACTACGGAGTTATATCCAAAATAAACGTCTGGCCTGCACTCTGCCGACACGTGGCAGAAATGCCTTTGACACACTGCCGACGTGTTGCCGGCGCATCGCCGACCGAGCCGGGTAAAGCCCGTGCGTTGCAGACCTGTAGCCTATATCCTGTGGACGCCGGACAGACAGTTGGCAAGCGCACGATCCAACGGGAGAAAGCGGGTCTTGCATTTGGACCGGGTCAGAACGCCCGTCTTTTGCGTCGGCGTCCTCTGCGTTTGCGCGGCAGAAACCTTCCGTTTGCCAAGACGTAGCCAAAGCTGGAACGCAAGGTAGCTAGCGGGGCGAGGAAAGCCACGGACCGGCCCCCTTGTGCACCCGGCGTCCTCTCCGCGATGCCCCCCTCGAAATGTACAGTTCCCTGAAAAGAGAAGACGCGTAAAGGCTATTAATGGCGATGCTCGGACAACTCATATGAAAAGCCTGAATGACTCCGGGTACAGGGAAGGTTGGAGGGCCATGTGTGAATGCGCAGCAGCTCGGAGCAGGTGGAGCAAAAGTTCCTGCTGCAGGACTCGGGAATCCTGGGTTCAATCCCAACCCATTCTTGTTTCGATTTAAATGAGCATTGTACCGGCATGCGGTTCTGCATCGCTACTGCGTGATACATGTTAAGAGACCCCAGGCTAGTGGTCTTCCTGCACCGACAATATTCCTCATCCACAGCAGAGACACCAGACGCTCACTGGAGCTGACCTCGCGCAGACTGAAGTTTAAACATACACACAAGTACTTGCTCTGAGCACAGGTTACGCTTTACGTCTCTGAAGGGACCACGAAAAGATTATTCTACTGCGGCTTTATGAGGCATAGAGCAGGCATCAGTTCTCATTTATGCATCCTGAAGTTTACGAGAAGTGCATTTATGAGGCTCTCACCGCTTTCTTCCTAAACTGCCCGTTTGTCCTTCAATCCTAACCACCCTGCCTCTTAGTCAAACAAACGAGGGGAGGATTTATAAAGTAAACATTTGACAGAGATCTGTGTGGTCAGAAAAAGGATAAATAAGAACAGAAACTCTAACCAGTTTTAATTTAAAAAAAATGACCGCATTTCCACGTGGTCATTTTTTGAAAGACGTCTACAACACCCTCTAACACTGAATTAGAGTGCGGCTCTTGAAGAGGAGGAGGGAAGGGTGCTGAGGGGAGGGTACACCCCTCCTCCTCCTTCACCTTATCCCCTCCCTCCTCTCCTCCTCATCCTCCTCCTCCATCCCCCTCCCCTCCTCCTCGTCCCCCCTGCATGTTGCATCATGGGAAATGTCCCATCATGCACTGCACAATTACGCCGACGCCGCTCAAGCCAGAAACAAGCGCCTAAAAGCTGTGCTCTAAAAAAAAGCTTACACCTCACGGCCCCTTGGTGCCTCGAAGGAAACGAGAATCCTCCGGTGCATTACAGAACCCGCTTCACTCCCCGGACTGGCAGCGAGGGTGCACCCACCTGACTTTGAGCCCAAGTTCCAAAGGCGCCGGCGGCAGTGCTCCGCCATCAGCAGCACTTTTTCTTCTTCTGGCCTCCGGGCTTTAACCGCAGCTTGTCGTCGGGCACCTGCTGCCTCTCCTTCTGCTCCTTCTTAGACTTGAGCACCATCCGCGTAATGGCGTTGAACATCTGCACCCCAACAAGAGATGCATCTGAAAGAACACTTCAACCACCCCTGGCTTGGGCAAGACAGCGCATGCATACAATGCCTTTTTAGCCGTCAAGTACATTTTACTCCAAGAAGTAACGAAGTACCGTTGCTCATAACTCGCTCAAATACAGTAATCCCTCGTTAGAATGAAATTGCTTTTTTCGAATTGTTGCTTTTATTGAAGTTCAGCGTGGTCCCGACCGAAATGCACGCATTATTAACCAAATTATTTTAAGCATATCAGCAGCCGACCACGCTTATTACGAAGGCCTAGTGCCAAAAACACGCAAGCCTCACAGAGGCGTTTGAAGGCCCTTGCGTTCCCTCCCCCTTCTCCAACGAGGCAAACGGCAAACTGGGAGAACGGAGTAAACGGGTGACAAAGGGCAGAGCGAGCAGAGCTGGCAGAGCACCGCTTCCAATGCCGATGCGCTGACGCAGGGATGTGGGCAGAGCAGCGGGAGCAGAGTCAATGTTCTGACGCTACTTAAAGCACCAGCAGCTGATGCTGTCCGACTCCTGTCGGAATCGGGTCAAGCGAGCGATGGAGCCCAGATCAGATCATCCCTTCGGGAGCCTGCACGGGCGCGCTTGCGGCGCACTACATGCACACGTGCGTCGTATGGGAGGTTGGGAGTGTTTATCGAAAGTCGCTTAGATCTGAGAGGTTGACAAAAGCGGCCGGCCCAAGTCCGAAATCGCCAACGAATTCGACATTCCAGCATCGGCTGTTCGACACTGTCCACCATGTTGAAATGCTATTAAAACAGCGCAAAAAAAGACAAAGGACCAGTGGAAGGAGAACACTGACACAGCAATGACTTACAACTGAAAAATTTACTTGTGCACAGTACAGCAAGTAAACATAAAAAGAACCGGATAGACACAAAAAAAACAATCAACCCGATAACACACCCCTTCCCCATCATATGCCGACACATGTCTACACATACTTGCCAGACTTCCCAATAAAATCAACCTCGTCACTTGTTGGGGCTATGGACAGCACACTTACACAACTGCCCACGTCATAGCTAGCAATAAAAAAGGCCTCGTCAATTTCCCTGGCAGACTTGCTTCTGTGCCACGCTGAAATCTTAAAAAGACACCAACACACCAAAATCCTCTTTTTTTTTTTTTATTTTTTTTATCCGAAACGATTGAAAACGATGCCTGGACATTACCCTCAAAATTCGGAAGTTGGGAATTCAGTATTTGTGAAGTAAAAAAAAAACAATTTCCAAATGCTGAATTTGAAGTTCCCGTGCAATCCGCGCCAGTGCAGCGACGTCCAATATTTAGCAGTCCTGCGAGTCGAGTTTTTTTCACGCCTCCACCCCAAACCGTCGTTGCTGACGCGACCAAAGCATTGTGTTCGCCGTCGTCGCACCAACAACCGGTTTCCTCCGTTTGTGCTGTGCTGTTAATCGCTGCGAGCAGACGACGCTTGACTTTCGAGTTTGAAGTTCTTTTAGGGCCCTTTCGGCGATATCAAATTTTTTTTAAATGGTGTGAAGTCGAAGAGAACCACAGGGGACTTTTATCAGGGTTCGCACAGAATTTTCGATGTGAAATTCAAGGACTTTTCAAGGATTTCAAGGGCAACAGAAGACAAAATTTACGGAAGGTTCGCAGAAATTTATTTACTGGCAGGAGTTAAGAAATAAGCTCCTTTTTGGCAAGAATTTCTCGTTCTACAGCAGCAAAAGCTGCTTCCTTTTCTTTTACTGTTCGGCAAATACTATTGGCCTTGGCCAAAAGTGTCGTCATTCTTCGCCTCAGCATCTTCTGAGAAGCAATCCAGCAACTCGAGCAGGCACCTCAGAGCTTTCTGGAGTTTCAACTTCCTCTCATGCATTTCCTCCAGCTCCATTTCAACTGCTTTTCTCTTCAAAATTTTCTGCTCACTGGCTGCTTTTTTCTGGCGCTCTTTTAAGTATGCAGCGTACTTCTGCCTTGCTGGGCATTCACAGGACTTCTTCAACAGTGGAATATTGAGCAGGCCACCATGGTTTTTGATAGAGTTGCAGATGAACCATTGAGAAACATATAAAATCTATGCCAACACACTCACAGGCTTACCAACAAAATCCTCAATACACTCAACACAAAGCCACGTTGCCAGACGACGCGGCCCCATTTACGCGTTTGTTGGGGGATTTTCAAGGATAACAAGGATTGTTAAACTTTTAAGGCTATTTAAGGTCCCTGAAAAGGCTTTTAACGAAATCCCGGGTATTCAAGGAGCTGTACAAACCATGTTTTATGAGCGACGCGAGGGGCCACGTCTCGCCGGTTCTGCGTGAAAGGCTGCCCCGGCGGAGTCACAACCGAAACTATGATACACAGATACACCCAGTTGTTTTGACCGTTTGATGATTTCCTTTACGAAGTCTGAGACGTTGTATTGGCACCTAAAAAAGAGAAGTTCGTCCAATTTCCCGATTATCCGATCATCCTCAGTGTTATGTGTGTTAAGCACTGCCATGGTTTTCGAAGGACAATAAAAAGCTAGGAGGCGACATCTTTCTAGACTCTGTTTTCGGTACTTAAATACGAAGGCCGTAGTGCGTTTGCAATTGCGTTAAAAAACATGTTTAATGAATGCCGTTATTGAATATTACAGAAATGTCGCTTACAAAGCTTCTAAATTTCATGACATTTGACGTCACAAATCAAAAGAAGCGAGGAGGTGAGGAGTGGGAGCAAATTCCAAAAATAAAAAGGTGCGCGAGCGCATAAGAAAATCTTTTGCATTGCGGTATTTTTTTGCATGTCTATGACTACAACTTCCATTGTTTTAGACAATAAAAAAAATATGACCTTTGGGGTGTCAGTGACCCTTTAATGTCATCAAATAGCGGAGAACATGTACATCTATCACAATGGACCGCAAGGTGGCCAGACAGGGACGAGCACAAGGAGTGTGTTCCCTCGCCCTGACATTCCCGTCTGTTCGACGTGCACTCTGCCACAGGACAGGGGGATCAGGTACACCACCCCACAGGCGACATACCGGTTTTAATGGTTGACTTCACACTGCGCTCCCGAGCGTCCACCTGGATTAACAGCTGCACACAGTAGCGACAACTTGGATAGTGCCGAAAACACTACTGGTACGTTGTACCTGCTGGGAACTTTCTTAATACTGTGGGACACCTAGTGAACATACGGCAAGATCACAGGTCTTAAAGTTAGTCTTTGTCTTGCCACAGAACAAAACAGCCCTCTAAACAACTTGACCAAAGATTCCACAACACTCACGACAACTCCCAGAGGGAAGTCAGCATCTGCATCAAAAAACTGTCGCCCCAACTATGATGGTACGACTTCAACAAGGAGGTGCGGAGACTACCAGACACTGCAATGGCTCTCTCTACAAGCTTGGAGCGTGAGGAATCATACGTAGGCTCATAGGACCAACACATATGGGAGGGCTCACACTGAAGATTGAGGTCCAAAAATTGTAGGGAACCCTCAGTCAGGCTCTCGCACTTGAACTTTAGGCCTGGAGAACATTTCGTGAACATATGCAACATTGAGGAAGCCCCAGTTTCGCCCTCCGAGTTTTCGCTGGATTTCAGCACAATCAGGTAGTCATTGACATACCCAAGCACTTTGACCACCCACTCATCCAAGCTCTCAGCAAGTGCCTTATCGCACTTTGCTAAATAAATGCCACTGAGGACAGGTGCAACGTTTGACCCAATACATATATTTCTCTTCTGCACAAAAGTATCACTTTTAAAGGTAACAAACGTGGACATGAGGTAAAAACGCAGTAACTTAAGGAAGGAATTACTCGCAACACCAGAGAAACTCGAGAAGGCCACAGACCCGCACATGTCAATGCGCTCCTCCGTGGAACGCAAGAGCTCGTAATGGGGAATGGAATAAAACATATCCTCCACATCAAACGACACCAAGTCACACGACCCAGGGTTATCTTCCTGGAGATATTTAACTAAGGCCTTAGAGTTGCGCACAACAAAAGGGTCGTCATGCGTATGTGATGACAGGTGGCACTGCAGAAAACATGACACATGCACCTGCCAGGAACCTTTCGGGGTGACAGAGGCTCTCAATGGCATCAACTCCTTGTGAGTCTTTAATTAAAGTGGAGAACACCTCCAGACTAAGAGCTTTTGTCGCTGACACAGACTTTCTAAGCGAATCTAGCCCCATGTCACCACAAAGTTGCACAGCACGTGCCTTAACCTTTTTTAAATCAACCCTCAAGAGGGGCCTAAAATTCTTCATTGCCTCTCTGGCCTTCTCAAAGAACAGCCCCTAGGTACCATGACAAAAAACCCCTCTTTATCAGATACCAGTTAACAGTGAGTCATTAAAAAGAGACACAGCTGCCCCCAACCCCCTTCAAAAGCCCTCCCGCACATTCAAGGATTCCCTATTTTCCGAGGTCGTTTTTCGTGACACTTGTTGCACCAGGGCCAGCACCTCCGGAGACCTGACCAACGGCTCGGTAACATACTTGGGACTCTTCTTCAAAATGTTCACGACCGCAGCAGGAGCACCACCCAAGAATGCAATGTTGCCTTTCCACTATTTTACAGAACAAGCAAGGCATACTGGAAGGGTTCGAGAAGTTCCTCATGCAGGAGAAAGCGAGCCTGCAACCCGAACTTGAAAGATAGCGAACTGTGTCGCTCACGTCGGATTTTCTCTCGCGAGCATGCTTGCCGAGCTGGCGCACGATTTCCATAGCTGCAACGATCGCTACAGGGGTGTGTGAAAACCTGTTGGCAAGGCAAACAGGGATAACTTTGATTCGTTCGTGCTTGTAGATGCAGACGTTCCCGTTGTTGCTCCTGCCACAAATACTGCGATAGTAGACCTTGCGTGCCGTCAGGGTAAACCCGAAGCAATGTCGGAGATGCACCTCAGGAAACGTCGACGACTGCGGAGACGCAAAACATCCTACGGCTGCTTCGAAACAAAGTGGAGTGCAGCGGCGGTG